GGGAACACGAGCTCCAGCCTGCAAGCCAGAGCGGGGATGGGGTTTTGGGGAGCTTGTTGCCCCAGGCAGGGAAATGGGGTGCTCCCATCATAGCTGAGGGTGATGTGCTACGGGGGGTGCTGTCACAGAGGGGGCATGGACCAGTTGCAGGGGTGTGGTGGATTCTCACCTGCCACCGTAAGCATCTGCTGTGACCAGCGCTGCCAGCAGTGTCCCCAGCAAGGCACCCAGGACCCCCGGCAGCCCGTGAACGTTGTGAACCCCACACGTGTCCTGGGTTTTCAGCCTGGAGCGCAGGACGGGCTGCGGAGAGCACGGGGAAGGACCGGGGTTTGGAGGGGGGATGCTGGACCAGGGTGGCCGCGCTGTGGGTCGGTGTTTGCAGGGTTGGGAGATGAAGGCTGGAAGCACTGCTGCCCGTGATCAAAGTGGGGGTCCCTGACCCAGGACCAGCATCCTTGGCTATCCCGAAGCGGCTCACCGTAAGGAATTTGAAGCCAAGCGAGGAGATCAAGCCGGCCAGAAACCCCGCGGCGAGAGCCCCGAAGGGGGTGACCAGCATCTCCCCCGCCATCCCCATCACAGCAGCGCTGGCCAAGGCGGCGTCCTGGATCTGGACCTGATGGAGCAGAGCACAGCTGGGGGAGTTGGCTCCATGGAGGACACCAGCATGGGGTTTGGGAGATGTGAGCTTCCTCGGGGATCAGACTGGGTCTTAAAAACCCAAGAAAGCCCCTAACAGGCATCCCTGGGTGCCTTCATTCTCGCCATCCTTGTAGGACAGGACATGGGCAACGCATGAGGCTTGGGTTTGTCCCAGGAGAGGACCTACCATCCGCAGCGTGTCCTCCTCATAGAGCACAGGCGAGAGCACGAAGGTGGCCATGGTGCTCGCCGCCAGCGAGAAGTAGCTGTTGAGCATTGCCCAGGGCTCGGTGTTGTCACTGGCTGCGGTGGCTGAGGTGAAGCTGGGCCAGAAGATCCACAGGTAGATGGTTCCTGCGAGGAAGGGGAACAGGCAGGTTTTGGTGCTGGAGTTGATCCCTCATGGGAAAGAAAGTTCTTGCAGTGCTGAGGGATGCAAGCGGCCACAGCTTGCAGCATGGGAAGCTCAGGTTGGAAGGAAAAGCTTTTTCCCGGAGAGAGGGTGGTGCAGCCCCAGGACAGGTCCTCATGGAGGTTGAGGACTTCTTCTCTTGTTGGTTTGCTGGACTCCACTGGACAAAGCCACAGGTGCGCTTTCCTAGCATCGGTGATGGTCCTTCCACCATCACCTCTACAGCTCCAGTGCTGTGGGATTTGAGCTCCGTACCAGCAGCAGCAAAGACCTCTGACTGCTGCCCCACAGCCTGCTGCTCTGTCCTCTTGTCCATGTGGGGCTGGTGCAAGATCCGTGAAATCATCAAGCCGAAGTACGCCCCGAAGGTGTGGACGGTCAAGGAGCCGCCGCTGTCGCTCACCTGGTGAGTACAGAAAACACCGTGCAGGAACCAGGGGTATGAGATTTATACCTACAGACAAGGCACGTCTTGGTTTGAGGAGCCTAAACAGAGACCTCTGGTCACCCCCTTCCTGGTGGCCCCCCAATTGGTGACTCACCCCCATGAGGCTGAGCAGGATGTACTCGTTGAGAGAGAAGAGGGTGACTCCCAGCAGCGTCAGCAGCAGCATCTGGACGGGGTTTACCCTGCCCAGCACGGCTCCGGTGGAGATGAGGACGGCTGCTGTGCAGAAGTCAGCACCGACCATGCTGGGAAGGAGAGGGGAGGCGTGGGGCTGGACCCGGCACTGCTCGGGGGTGAGCGTGGGAGATGGAGGGAGCAGGGTCTGGGGGGAAGGGAGCTGAGCCTGTATCCTGGACCCTGCATCCCCACTCCTGCCAGCTGAGTGGGCAGCCCAAGCCTTGTGATGCTGGTGACAAGGAGACGAGGCAGGTGGGGACTAATGTGCCCCCCTCCCCAAATGCCTGGCTGTAACGTTGGCGGTACTTACACGGCCCTTACTAGTGTGATACTCAACCCAGAAGCCTGCTCTTACTTGTCCTCACAATCCTCCTCCAGAGCAGAGGAGGGAGCCCGTGTGCCAGGGCTGGACTGGGACCAGCGCGGCCGGGCAGCGGCAGCCCCCTCCTGCCTTACCTCTGAGCTCCCACGTCAATTTTGCCGTTCAGGAAGAAGTACAAAAACCCCTGGATCAGTACAGCCCACTGGATGGCGAAGGCCATGATGAGGATGCGGATGGCCACACTGCCTGGCCCGTAGCGGCCGAGGAAGGTCAGCAGGAGCCCGAAGCCAAGGAGAGCTCGGAGGTGGACATCCCGGAACCCTGGCAGGAGAGAGGCAGAAGGATGGATCTGGAGGTGTCGAGGGTGGGCAGCAACCTTCCTGCCTGTTGGTCCCCCCGGGGGGCGGTGCTCGGACAAGATTTTGGGGAGCTGGAGGCTTCGGGCGATGTGAAACAGCCTTGCTCCACCTCCGCGTCTCTGCACCCGCGGTGGATCCAGCCTTGGATCTCCCTCGGAGATCTCCGGCAGAGAGCATGGCGGTGGGTGCTTGTGCTACTGACAGGTACAGCCCGTGCCCACCCGATGTGGCCCCCGCCGCCCTGTACCTCCCG